CCCTTATACCAACTGATGGTGTAGATTTACTAACACAAAGAATAAAACGATAATAATTATTACAAACTTGCTCTAGGTTATTTGTGTCATTTGTTAATTCACCTGCCCAAATTTCTGACCCATACATTAGAATGGGTGTAACCAACTGATCAAATAATTTTAAACACAATGAAGTTGAAATCACTTTATGACTACCGGTAAGTATAGTTTGTCTAATGGCAAATAATGTCTTCATTGCTTTATTTTTTAGCATACAATGGTTTGTTTTAAATTTTCCATTCGGAGTGAATATCATACCCAAATAACAGAACTCCTTGACTGGTGTTATGTTTTTACCATATATAATAAAAGTTTGGTTTTTCAGTACTCTGTTACTTGTGTTGAATATCCTCACTTTGGTTTTCTTAACATTCACATCAAGATTACAGGTTTTACAATAGTCTGCTAATTTATTCAGACAATTTTGTAAACCCTCTGCAGTCTGTGAAAACAAAACAAGATCGTCTGCATATAAAATAGAGTAAAAAAGATAAAAAAAAAAATGGCCAGCACGTACCATGACGTCTCCAAGGCGTCCAGATGGCGAGTAACGTGCACGATCAGTACGTTGGATGTAAGTGAACTAAAATATTACCTTTTGTAATAGAACATTAGTACTAGATTTCTTTGTTTTGCACTAAAACATTATGCATACTTTATAGGCATAATACACCGCCATATTATGAAACTGATTGCAGAACGTGTGCGGATGAAGTTTTAAACTATTTTCTTCATATAAGTAAACAAACTTGGTTGTTTTTTATTATGATGAAGATTTTCTGTTAGCAATGTATTTGAACAATGTAAAAGATTGGGTCATGTAGTATGCAAATTAGTCTATTTGAATAAGTGGCTTTGTTTTTGGAATATTTGTTGGTATGTATACATATAATATGTAAAACATAATCTACTGAGTGTTAGATAATAAACATGCTATTATACCCTGGTATACATATAAGTGCCTGAGAAATTTACATTGTTTTTTACCAATCATAAAAGCAAACAATACTTATAAGTATTTCCGTTGAGAAAATATGAATAAATTTTGTTTTCGACCCGATAAGGTTTTTGAATATCCGTTTTGTTTCAAGGTCATGAATAGTTGATAAACAAAAATAGATATCTGTCATTCGTTTCTATCCCCTCCCAAAACTCTCATTGCGGAGTTCTTTGCACATGTAACATGTAACCACGTTTTCCGATAATTATCGGACAATCACGATTTACAGAAATCTGGACTCATATCCCAGCCTGTTTAATATCGATTTAAAAACTCAATAACTGTCCGATAATTACCTATTTATTCAAGGAAATGTTTAAACATGTTATGATTTTATGATAAGATATCACATTCAAAATCCATTTACAAAAAACAAACGTTTCTAATATTTAGTGGAGCCTGCGGCTTAATTGTTGTAGTGCGATGACATCACGCCCCGTATCGTGCTTAACGGCATTTGCTGGGATTCCTGTATTCTGTACTCTGCATCATATTTATTTTTATGTTTTTCTACCAAATGCTCAAATTTCCTTATATTGTATACAATTTACCAATGTGAGTAGGTTGTATATGTGATATATTACATATTGATCACAAAAAGGGGACAAAAAAGTGTCATTCTATATTTCACGACTAAAATATCGATTTTTATTTTTTTAACGTTTTTAGCAATATCTTCACTTTATGTGTATTTGTAATATTCTAATTTCCATTACTATAATTATATACACATTGAGTAATATGCACAACGAAAATTTTAACTAATTCGCATCAGTATTTCTTATGTTATAGATGAAATTTTTTTCTTAATTTCTGACAACAGATTCTATGATGTCATACTTTACCCATGATCCTTTGCTTGAGAATCAAGATGGCTGACTACATAATACTGATATAAAGTTGTATATCCAGAGAATGAAAAGTGATATAAAAAAACTGTAAATTGCATTCTCCTATATTTGTGGAGCTTTTTCTTTATGGGTCATTATGTTGTTTGGACTGATGTTTCCTTTAACATGGATGTTGATGTTTAGCTTCATTGTGTGTCGCTTTTAACTCAAGGCTAGTTGTGCTGAGAAAAAATGTTGGAAAATACATTAGGATTAGGATTTATTATCTTGAACTATTTCTCTTCTTTTTGACAGTTTGGTTTTGTGTTTGCGTGTACACATGCACGTGTGCATTACACTGTACCTTTCACTGTTTGCGCTGGCATTGTAGAATGATCGCTGTGTTGACTTTCATCCCATGCCGGGAACAGCCACTGATGGCGCTGTATAGTTTCGGAATCTGTAGTGGCTCGCAAAAGAAGACATATACGTATAGTAAGTATAGCTGCACTTGTCAAATCTGGTGACCAGTTTAGTATGGTAGAAAGCGTGTACAGTCTTCTAATAAGCACAACAATTAGACAGGGTGTAGGACAAAGCCCGGCATATGTGCCTGTGGCATTTCATAAAAAAATGCTTTCTACTAATAATTGCAGGTTAAAGGGCGGTGGTCGTCGCGCTGTGCATGTGCGAAATTTGTGTTGACAAACATTGATTTTCCCACAATCCAATGCGCTCTTCTAATATAAATCACAAGTATGAGGTTTGATCTAGGCGAGACTTGCACTAATTACCGCCAGTGACTTCTTCGATACCGTCCAATCATCTAAAAAAATACCTAATTAAAGCTTTGTAACGTCTAAGTTTGTACTCGTTGATGTCGTTGAAATTTTGGCCAATTATATGGAATTACCTCCACACGTACATCCAATTAGTGAGAGGATTCCTTGAACTCCATGTTCATGAATCCTC